TGCAGGGCTCGACGTGCCTCGATCAACTCCTGATCCATATCTCAGACTCCTTCGCTGGATTGCTATTGTTCACCATAAGATTCCTTCTCTTCATGGTTTCCTTCGTCAACGACTGCGACTTTTAGACTTTCTTCGCTAGAAACATTGAGCCTATTCGGAATTCGGCTTATTACGCCTCGCTCTACAAACGGCAAAAGCCATCCTCGCGCTTCACTGTTCTAATCCGCCGATTACCCACCGCGATGTGAAGTCGGCGAACGTGCTTCCAGACGAATGGTTTAATGCACGTTTCGACGATTTTGGTCTTGCTCTCAAAAATATGAGAACGAAGCCGACAATTCAATTCCTCTGTCCGCTCCACACCACCTGCAGGGACTCTAGGGTATCATCTTGTGGAATACAAGGATTCTTGCGTTGAAAAAGGGCTTTTATGTTTGTATTATTATTCGTCTAATTCAGATCTTCTTTACCAGGCATCGCTGCTTCTGTGACATCTTTGACTGCTTCTTACGCTTCGTTTCGTCTGCTTCGGCTTCGGCTTTGACATTCATTCCTAGATCGATGGCTTCAGCTTCGACAAGCCATAGATCTCTTAGGTTTTGGCAAAACTTTGGCTTCGACACTTTAGGGCTTCGGCAATCTCAGGCTTCGGTCTCTCGGGCTTCGACACTTTTGGACTTCGACACTCTTGGGCTTCGGCATTTTCAGGCTTCGACACTCTCAGACTTCAACATTCTTAGGCTTCGGGAAAATTTTGGCTTCGGCATTTTGAGGCTTCGAAACTCATGGCTTGGTGGATTTTTTTGTCCCGACAGTATTATCAGTTTCTTGTTAGCAAATCGATGCTTCCTGATCAGTCAACATCAATTTGAGGGGGATGTCAACCAGGAAGGACGAAAATCAGACAACTAAATTAGGAGTTTTCTATAATTAGAAGCTTCATTATTTCCAATATCTTTATTCTGATTTATTTTCCTTTTAGCTGAATATTTAGATTAGGAATATGCATTATTAAGTTACCTAAAATAGATTATGCACTTTATTTTGTATCTAAAATAGATTGTAAGATTGTTATTTAATAGAATAAAAGCAAAGAGAAAAGACAATCAAGCCTATTCAGGATTCAACCTATTTTTCTCTGAACTTTGACAAGACATCAAGCCAACACTGTCTTCCCACTGTTTTCCCACGGCCCTGCACCTTGCCGACCTTGTTGCCGCCTTTCCAAGCCCCTAATGGTCACCAATTACCACCACCACTTGAGATCCACCTTTAGTATTTGTGTCATGTCTTTTGCTATTTTAGATTTTCTGGTGCATGTTGTATTTTCCCTTTCCAATGTATTAGTTGTAAGCGTTTCTTTGCTTTTAGTAATAATATTTACTTTTTTATTGTGATTTGGGTTAACTCCGGTATCACATATTCTCCAAAATTTTAATTCTTAATTCTATATTTGTAACATCTAGATATACATATTTTAAGCATTAAACTTTACATTATCTGGAAATATGAGTTCAAAAACTGCTAATGTCTCTATAATTTTATACTGCTACTGCGGTATACAATGCTATGTATTTACTTTAAGACGAGAAGCTACCTATGAGTGAATATTTTATAGATGTCACAGAAATAGGATACTTGATGATTGCTACTCTTTTAGATGGGCTCATGATAGCGAGCAATCCACTTCAGATAATGATCCTGTATGGAGGGAAGCTTTAGAAGGAAAAATTTCCAGAAGACTTGATTGTTTGAACTTAAAAAGTAATGTTATAATGACATTACTTGTTATTGTAATTTTTATTATCTTTTCATTCTGTGTTATGTAATGTGTTATTCTTGATGTAGTATAATAATGAACTTATGATTTTTTTTTTGAACTACTAAAGTTTTTTCATATTTTGTTTGAATTATTTATAAAATAGCGGACTTATAGCTAACACATGTACATAAGGGCATTACAATCCTTTTTTCTCATAAACAACTGCATCACAACGCTGCAATAGATTATCCAACAACCACACTGCTTCACCATCAGTTGTTTTCTAATAATAGTTTATCCTAAAAAAAAGCTTCATAGCTGCTTTTTGAAGTCGCTGCAGCTGCCCCAACACACCCTTAATAGGCTTTAGCTTGGCTTAACCGTTTGCTCCCGCAAGAGAAGGTTTCAAAGACTTGGTGGCATAGTGGTTTGGGTAATGATAATTTATCTTACTTTTTGGTCATCATTGCTTGCTTATTGAGCTGGCTACTACTGTGTGCACATAAAAATTGACCTCTAATTTTTCTTCATCTATATCTATATATAGTATTGTAGATTATTAGACAGTTATATTTAAGAGATTTGCATCATGTAAAAATGCATAATCTCAATACAATTTTTTCGTTGGGTCCTGTTGCCTGCTAGTAGCCTTTGCAATGAGTATGATGCTATTTAAAATTTTTTGTTAAGAAATCTGAGCCAATCAATACACAATCAATCAGTAAATAAAATGGAAAAAAAATACTATAGCATGTCTCGAGGTTTGCTTCATTATAGAAGTTTTGGATGCTCAAGCTAGTAATTGGGACTTAATGTGGACAAACCAAGTGGTGGGTTTTTGGGAAGCCACACTCTGCCTCGATATGAGATCTATCTTGAGAATTTCTAAATTGGTAATTGACCCCTTTTAATCTGTTACTCTGGGAAACTAGAGGGCTAATTTTATCCTGTTCAGTCCTGATTGGGTACACTTTAGTAATTAAGTTGATTGACAGAGATATCTATTTTGTTATAATGCTTGCACCACACAACAAGGCATAATAATTTGAAACTGATGAGGAGTACCATGTCACTTCTAATGAGTACACTGTCACGATAAATGATCAATATGAATCTCATTTAAATTAGTGAGTAGAAGGGTTTCTATACCATCCTTAGAATTTTGAATTCATCATTTTATAATCAATTTAGGTTTTATGATGATGAAGGCTATGAGCCCCTTTAAACTATGCCCTGAATGATTTATACTAGATTGGTTTGGGGTAATGTAGCCAAACCAAGCTATGTTTTAAATCGATTCACCAACTTGGGCTCCTTAGCCAACATTTGGAGGGTGGCATGACGGGTAGGGGAGGTATGATAACTCCCCACGATAAGGTGTTTAGTAGTATGACTTTCCTTGCACTTTTGCTTATGGGGTTAGCTAATAATGATTGCCAAGTCCTTCCATCTAGTAGCCTCTTCATCTTCATTTGCACCTATGGTACCATGCAAAATGAGGGAGGCATTGGTAGAACATCTCACTCCTTATCGTTGGAATGAAGATTATTTCTCTGGTTGAGATAAACTTCTAAGAAGCCAATGAACATGATGGCTATTGATAAGGTCATTTTTATTAAATAATTTGAGCTCTTCAATGAAAAAACTATTGTAGTTATCTCCTTCTAAATCAATTGTAGTGCACATTCTATGGTTAGCCTCTTGTCTACAGCTAGAATGAGAGTGTGACATAGGCCTCTAACTGGGAAGCGTTGTAGTGTTGGATGAAATCATATTGTCTCCATCTTCATCTTCATCTTCAACCTCAATATTCTATGACCATGTATCCAAACTTGCCTGGGCTGGGATTCATGTGGATCAAGCTTACTATGCTACTACCTGAACTGCTAACTATTAGCTCCATGTGCTTGCCGAGTCATGTGTTCTATCAAACCTTATTGGGGTTGCATGGCTTTATGAAGATAGAAGAGAATAAATTGTCCGCGAATTATTACTTTCTTTTATTTAGCAGATTCTATAATCTGATGTTGCTCTAATGGAAGAATCTTTTAGAAATTACGAAATATGTTCAGCTTGGTTTGATTTTTTTATAGTTCAAATTAATGTTATAGGAAGATGATGAGACTCAATATGGACCGGCTTGTTTTTTGCTCATTGTTTTGGTTAAAGAATGTCATATAATGTAACCTTATTATGATTTTTGTTGTACATTCATTTTTATGAATTGCAAGCAAGAATTATTATCTTCCTGATGTGAAGTTATTTTATTTTCTTCAACATTTATTTGCTGGTTCTTGGATCACCTTCTTTTGTGATTATTCAGTGGCCTTTCTCTGTTTTTAATTGATTACTTTTTTTATCCGGTGTAATTTCTTGCTGTTAAGTTCCTAAAGGATGAAGCCTTTGGTGTGGGAGAACTTTTGATTTTTGCGAGTGGACTTTTCGTGTGATATACATGACTAATTTTTTGTGACTTGGCTCTACCAGTATTCAATAATATTGCAAGACTTAACAACATCTGTGCTATAGAGATTTCCAATGTAGTTTTTAGCATTACTTATGGCTGGCCATATGTAACTTCTTCTCTTCTTTCCATGTCTTTTCTCGGCTATAGAGATATGTGTTTTGAAGTTATTTTAATTTCTGAGTAGGGCTTCTGACTGGGATATTGTAACTTTATATAGGGGTTTTGGACGCGTGCCAAAACTATCAAGTTGTATAAAGTTTTATTTGGGTATGTTATTTATTTTGCTTCTGCTAGTCAACTCCTTGACCGAGTAAGATTTTAAGATTTTCTAAGAGGTTGTCTTATACAAACGAGAGACTTGATTTTGGATTATTTTTTTACTTATAATTTTTCGCAAATTATTGTTATTGGATTGAATGTGTGACTAGTTTTATTTAAGTTTGATACAATTTTGGTTTTCTTCAGTTTTGGGTTTTAAGATTCAAAATCTCCAAGCATTGTTTTATGTAGAAAGCTAATAATTATTATATGATTTTTTTTGTTTTTTTGTTTTGAAGTTGATGAATAATTATTAGAATTAAGAATTTATCATATGTAAGTTCTGTATGTGCAATACACGATTTCATGCAATGCATTGTAGATACGCAATGAAATTTATAGACCCCAAGCCACCCGTTATCATATCGGTCGTCTTCACAATGTTATTGGTCAGTTAATTTCTAAATGGAAACAACTAGAAAGGTTTTAACTAAGCTTTTCTAAATAAAACAGGTTGGATGATCCTCTAATGTGGGGATTCAAGGGCTTTCCTACAATGAATGCAAAGCTAGCTAGGTGGGTGCTAGCAGCTGAGGATATATGTTTTAAAAATGCAATTTATTCTTACTTATTTCGACTAGGTAAGACATTTTCTCTGCACATTTTGAGTTTCTTGCATTTCCATGTAGATGCTATGGAAGATAATAACTCTCTTTCATTTACTATGTAGAAGATTCCGCATCTTTTCTGAGCCGATGAATTTAAGTAATGTGTTGCCAAGTTCTTTGTGTCCAAGATGAAGGCTGACATATGTACTGTGAATTCTCCACTATATAAACAGGAGTGATATTGTTGACATAGAATTAACGACGTAAATATAACTCTTTCAATATATTTTTGAACAAATTGAATTGAGAGCTCATTTATTGGATGTATAACACTATGTCAATCTTTTGCGTATTTGAATTTTAATGTTTGAAATATTACCTCAATCGAAGAGGCTTTATGGAATGTTGAACTTACTGTATAGCGCAGCACCTTTTTTTTAGGCATTTTTTTCTTATAAATAGTGGTATGGCATTTTAGTTTAGAAAAATTCTGCATGTTTCATTCCATTGAGGATCATATTTCTTGCAGATAAGAACTTTGAAGTAGTTAATGATTGTTGAATGACCAGTTGTGTCTGCAGAACTTGAAATATTTTCTGTAAAATTTTAGTTTATAGTTTGACAGGAAGGTATGACTGTCAGCTGTACCAATCAACTGGTAAGATTTTTTTATGTAAAACGAAGACTACCTTCTTTCATCATCTATACAACAACAACAACAACAACAATAAAGCCTTAATCCCACTACGTGGGGTAGGCTACATTAATCCTTTTTCTCAATTGCGTCCCATTTAGTATCATATTTTCATTTAGTTTTAATAAATTAAGATCATTTTTTATACAATAAGCCCAAGTCTTCCTAGGCCTACTTCTTCCTTTCTTAACATAAGTCGAATCTGAAACATCTACTCCCCTATTCGGATCATTAGATGGTCGACGCTTAATGTGACCAAACCATCTAAGACGACTTTCTATAATTTTGTTCGTCACAGGAGCTACACCAACCCTATATTCATTTCGCATTTTATCTCTTAAGTGTAAAGCCACTCATCCACCTAATCATTCCACCTAATCATTCTCATTCATTTCGGCAACACTTAACTGAGTATTATGCTTCTCTTTTAAAGGCCAATACTCAGCGCCATAATGCATTGCAGTTCTCACCACCGTCTTATAAAATTTTTCTTTCAGTCTAAGCGGTACTTTTCTATCACACAAAAGGCCCGAAGCATTCCTCCACTGCAACCAACCAACTTGAATTGTACTATTGAAATCCTCATCTATATCACCATCGCTTTGAACAACAGGCTCGAGATATCTAAATCGTTCACACCTTTTACTAATTTGATGACCCAAAGTTACACTTCTCTCATTAGAGCTACTACTACTAAAATTACATTCCATGTATTCAATTTTAGTTATACTCAAATGGAGGCCTTTAGACTCCAATGTAGACCTCCATAATTCAAGTTTTTCCTGGGCTTTTTCTCTCTTCTTATCTACGAGAAGGATATCATCAGTAACAAGCATACACCAAGGTACATCCTCCTGTAAATGTCCAGTATAACCATCCATAACTAAAGCAAAAAGATATGGGCTTAAAGTCGATCCCTAATATAATCTGATCTTGGAAAGTATAGTTGTGTAAAATTTATAAAGTTGATTCTGTTTTGCAACGACATGCCAAAAACTTGATGTGGTATTTTATTTTAAACACTTAAAGTTGGGATTCTACGCAAGTATACGTATCGTTAACAAGTAATATAAGACTTTTTCTTAATCCCAAATATCGGTCCCACGGGGAAGGTTTAAATTTGAAATGATAAATTAACTAGGAAATTTACAGAAATCAAACGAAATTACTGTCACTAATTCTGAAAGTTTAAGATATTATCAAAGCTAAATTATTTACTACTAATAGAATTTAAAAATAGATTCTTAAATTAATAACTACTAAACTATGTTTATGTGATGAAATTTTCTAATATGAAAAAGCATCTTCCCCACTACAATGAGTTTTTGGTGAAATGGGATGAGATAAATGGTTTTAATATGTATTGTGCCAAATAAGAGCAATTTTAATTCTCTACACTGATTCAGTGTTATAGAAAATCATTGGTTAATCATAGGTTTAGTCTATAAATTCATGGCTAGGATAGGAGGAAACTGGCTCCCCCACTAGTGATCCT